ATTGTTAATGATACTCATCTTCATAGATCAATTGTGAAACCGTGCATCATTCTTTTTTTTTCATAAATTTTTCTATTTTAAATATACTTTGATTAAAAATATTATATATATTGTTTCATGATTCATTTTGTATGATCATCAAGTAATTTAAAACAGCTTCAAAAACTATAATTTTTTGCATTCATCATGGCCAAATTTTCAGATTTATCATATATGAAATTTTATCCAAAAATATTTAAATATTTTCACAATCTAGTAACTCTATTGAAAATATAAAAATTTTGTTGACAAAAAAAATCTAAGGCGTAGGAACTTAATTATATATATATATATATATATATATATATATTATCACATATATTATCAAAATATCAAAAAAATGATAATTTTATTATTAATATCAACAAAATGTTGCTTTAGTCATATTAATACATCAACTTATTATTTTCAATAAATTTCATTTTTAGATTTTAGAGAAAATATGTTATGGCATATTAAATATGAAACCTAGCTTCATTTCAGATAATTTGTAAAAAATTATAATTAATAAGTCTTCAACTCACAATAAGAAGTATTTGTGATTGAACTTGAATTACATGAATTAAGTTATAATTCATTTATTGATTAATTAATTTTCTCTGTAAAATTATTTGAAAATGTCCCTAACTTATATACAATAGATTTTTTATTTTAATACTAGTTTATACAATACTATATATAATAAATTTAATTCTTTCTATTTCTTAATATTTTAGAAATTTTCAATAAAATTCACCATTATAAATAAAGAGTACAAAAATGTCAACAATTCCTTTTTTTCATAAATGATTTTAACAAAAAAAATATATTTTTACAACAGATTATGTTTTAAAAATGAGAATTAGACACAAACAACATATCGTTACATTCAATTGGAAAATCCAAATATTCTTAAAGATGCGGAAAACGTACAGTTTTTTTTTACAATAAAACATAATATTTTGAAAAATATGGATAAATATAAAAATTTATTTTTTGTTTTTTATTTGATTTTATATAAATTTAAATAAATTTCATTAAAATTTGATCAGATATATTTCAAGATGGTTTAAGAATATATATTGCATTAAAACTTACTACCTTAAAAGTACTACTTTAATCTACTCAAACATGTGTTTTAATAAATTGTGCCCATTAATTTTTGATATCATTTGAGATTTGGCTCAAACCAAAATTTCAAACAATGCATAAGATATAAGGAAAAACTTCAAGTTTTAAAACAAGGAAATTTTATTCATCAAAATACAAAAGATGTTTTTAAAATTTAAATATTTCAATGCATGTCCATGAATAAATCTGTTAATCAATATTTTTATTTACGTCATTCGGATAAATCATTCAAATTTAATGAAAAATTTAAAACTTTTCAAAACATGTATATTGTAAATAAAAAAATAAATTAATAAACTAACATCTATTTGACTAAAACAAATCATGAATTTAGATCTCTCATAAATTAAACAATACGGATGCAAACAAAATCAAATATAGTCTAACATGAAGGTGGTGAATGAAATTAACGTGAATTATATCTAGTACCTAACGGAAGAAGAAGTTGGAAATTGAAGTTTTTCATTTGCATAAAAATTACATGTCATGATATATACGCATATTATAATAATATAAGCAACATAATTTCAATAGGAAAAAATAAATTATAATATCTTGTATGTTTTTTAAAATCTATGATTGTATATTGCTATTCAATGTATATGTACAAATTTTTAAAATATGTTTATTAGTTTTATTATTGAAATCAATTTAATTTTATTTATAGTAAAAATATTGGCAAATTCAATGAATATTTCATCATATATTGAATTTTGGTTTAATTTTTTATAAATTCTTTTGTTCTCTTCTTTCAAGATTAAAGGCAGCAAGTAAGTATGGTTTATTTTCAATCTTATTTTTCATTAAATGAATGTATATATATCTGATTCAATATTCATTAGTACATTTGGTTCAAATTATTTGACATCAATACAATCATGTATTTTTCAATATCATTGCATAATTATATTTTTTGAACAATTTTATTTTTTTAATATATTGAAATGTTATTTACATTATTTATTATGCGTATAATTATATACAAGAAGAATTTAAAATTTAATACACATACTTATCTTTAATGCATATCAAATCTTATTAACATTCTATGTTTAGATGTGGATTTATCAAGGATTTTTCAAATAATTATTTATACGTATATAATTATTAATAATGTTTTAATTTATCACATGTACACAGACTTGTATTCATCGCACTCAACTTATGGATCGGTAATAAGCTTCATAATCAAACATGGGTATATACATTACGAACAACTTACTTATTATAAGTTATATTCACAAATTATTTTGTTTTAGAATTGCATTTAAAAAACTGTTATTTATTACAGATTCAAGTACCAATATATTCATTCAATTTTAAATAATGAAAATATAATTTTGGAAATGTATGTTTAAAATACACAATAATGATAATATAATTGAATACTTTGATTTTCACATAATTGCATGGAAAAAACATGATTGATGACTTATCAATTTCAAATATAGGACTACATTCTGATATGATCATCATTTTTTGTTTGAAATAATTTTTTTTAATCACTTTAAATTATTGATATTCAACTGAATATTCAAAGTCAAGTCATTGTTATCAATCATAGAGAAATTTTGTACACCTGACATAAAAATTGCATCATTTAAACTAAAAAACCCAGATTTAATGCTATATGGTATGCTAGGTGATGCTTAAGTACATTAGTTCACACTCGATGTTTATTTTAGTATCTTTATTATCCACGAAAATCTCATTCATACTCGAACACTATATTCACTTAAAATTCATTCAATAGAAAGAGAGTGAAAAATCATGCAATTCAAAAAATCATTCTAGATGAAGATAATACAAAATTACGCAATTCATTGGATTCATAAATTTCAAGTAAAAGAAAAGTGAAAAACAATAATAGATTTTACAAAGTTCCAAAAGATATTTTGTGCAATTTGTACATGGTCACATGCATGAATAGTATTATTTGTTATGTACAATTAATGATAAACATATTAATCGTAATAAGAGAAAAAATATCTCTTAATCATTTACATTTTGAATGAGTTTAGTCCCAAATATTGATAATGAATTTGGATTTTCTTTCACACTGTAATCGAATTTTTTAAATAAATAAATAAATAAAGTTATGAAAATAATGTTGTATGTATTTTTTATTATTAAATCATGATAAAATTACGATAATATTTAAATTTTTTAAAATTGACAGAAACTAAATGTAAACTTCAAACATCAATTTTGTTGTAACAACTATTGGTATAATATGTATTCATATGTACTCAAGTACAACGTGTTTAGTTTTCTATTCAACTATTATATTACTATAGTGAGAACAAGTTTAGAAATACCACTCTAATTTTTTTTCAATATACAAGAATTAATCCTTTTCTGCATAGAATTGTATCAATGTGTTGTAAGATAAAACCCTATCAAAGTATCTGTCTATTGTGAAGACACGTGACTAGCTGTATCCAAAGTCGAGAAGTTGTTGCATCAAATTTATGAAATATATCAAACTTATTTAATCACTAGTTATTTTCCTGGCGTTGTTGACTTCCAAAAATGATCAATGTGGTAAAATCAAGTAATTTGTATTTTGAAATATTTTCCTATTGACTTTTTTGTTTTCTTTCAATAGACCATTTTGATTTACCGAGCTATAATGTCGTACGTGTTTATGAACATCTAATACTTAGTGAATACTTAATCTTTCAAAGACGTATTCGATGTTAGCGAGATGCTATATCCTTAAGTGACCAAAGTTGTGATTAATGTCTCTTACAAAGATTAAGAAAAAAAGAAATAATCAAATATACTCATACAAATACATTCCATCAATCATGCGAAGATTCGTCAAGTATTATCGAAGAATGTTACAAGGCCTGGAAATGAAATAACATGTCGTAAAACGTCCTTCCCCAAGTTTTCATCCAAGCTAATTCCTTGCACAGTTTTTACACCAGAAGGGTTTTCGAGTAATACATTGGGCATTCATGTACTTTGCCGGTGTCAAATTGACCAGACCCGAGGGCTTTTAAGCAGCCACAAGCTCATCAATCATGAACTAAAAGTGTGCCAATACAAAAGATTCCTAGGTGAAATGAAGCACACACACCATGGCATTAAGGGAAGGACTAAAATACGAAAGAAAACAGCAATAGAATCCAACCCATATTGATTCTTTTGAAATTAATGGAGTGAAGACTGTAGTTGTCAGAAATTGCATTTCAAACATACCTAAAGGTGTTCAGTACACCTGCCACATAAAGATGCTCCCACCACTGTAACATGGCAATTTCTCGATCAGAATGAACTGTTGTGGCTCGTCTCGAGAACGAAGAAACTCCACAGTGTGCGTGAGCGAAAGAGCCGAGCTCCGACGTAAATTCGAGTGGAATTTAAGAGGAAGGAAAATAAAGCAGCGCAGACTCGAAGCCATCCAGTTGCGGGCTTCGGCCCCAAAATGTCGCTCCGGCCAAAATCGGGCTTCCAGCCAGCGGAGAACCGCGGAAAACGACAAGACCCGGACTGGAACCGGACTCCAGACAGTGCTCGGTCCACCGATACCGTTTCAGCCGGTCCACGTTCTTGTCGTCCGATCCGAACCCAGCGTAGCGCGTGAAATGAGAACGGACGAGGAAGACCCCGACGAGGAAGAACGACTCCCGAGAGTCACTTTTACAAGAACGCATCCGGTCGATCGACCGGTTACTAACCGCATCACCTTTCCACCCGGCGAGGCCCTCCCTGTTTTTGGTCCGAACTTGCCAGAGAGACGAAGCGCGTGTTTGTCTGACGTTTGTGTCGATGGCTCATATGCTCTACTAAAGAAATGCTCTCGCGGCCTGTGCTGCAGGACGAGGGCGAGACGCTGGTTCCCGGTCCGGTCGGGCTCCGGTAAAATGTACGCTACCGGAGATAGAAGGCAAGGCAAGGGAAGGCAAGCGAAAGGAAAGTGAAGGAAAGGATCGTTATCTCGACGTGCAGTGAGTTCTAGTTCTTGAGGGTTTTAGAAATCGCATGATCTGAGGAGTATCACCGGCAGGTACGAGGAGCACGAGAGAGGGAGAGAGGAGAGGAAGAATTGGAAGGAGGAGGGACGATCTTTGGGGAGAGATTGTGGAGGCGAGGGTGCTGAGGTTTCGGGAGGGGGCGATGGCGAAGAAGAGGAGGACGGGGGGAAGGATTCGAGAATGGTGGCATGCAGTCGGCGAGCTGGTGGGTGGTGAGAGGACGATTAGGCTGTGACGAGAAAGGAAGTGGGGAGAGACGAGAGGAAAATCGGATGGAGAGGAGGAGAAGGAGGAGTCCGGCGATGGTGGAAACAGGGCACGGGTGAGAGTGATGATGATGGTGATAGGTGTAGATAGCGAGAGATGGATGACAAGAGAATTGGAATTCTCTTGGGACGCTTGGTGGTCGGAAGAGTGCAAATGGAGAAGGATTGATTGATACTGGTCGGTGGTGGTTGTCCGACAGGGCAGGGCAGGCGTCTCAGAGGCGGAGAAAGTCTCGATTCAGGAGCAATAGCTGGTTTGAATGGCAATGGTAGGCAGGATGGCCGGGGACAGGGAGCGGGCTTATGCCCTGCTGAATGACGCCAAAATGCAGAACGATTCGACTGCGAAGACAGAAAATCTGAAGCAATTGCTGGAGATTCTGTTGAATAGAGAGCCCTCGTTGATACCGGAATTTGTGCCCAATCTGATGGATTTTCAAACCGATCCTAGCAGCCCGGTGCTGAAGTATTTAGCAGAGTATGTAGTCTGTGTTTCCTTCCTCGTCCTCTGAATGCATGGAAGGCATTTTTTTTTCCTCACCAAGCACAGATGAAAATGGCCATTATGAGTTTATAACAGAACGAGACATAAATTGGAGGCATGTCGTTGAGTTTGACGAGACAATCGAACCCTCACCAGGTCGTCATTTTTTCTATAAACGAAGCGGAAATATATAGGTTAATAGAGGTCGACATTTTATTATCTGACTTGGGTGAGGAAATTTTTTACAGTCGATAAGGAGGAGCAGAGCCTTTGTGGATATTATGTGTGGTAGTGGGAATGAGCTTGATTTTGAATTTAGGACCAATTGAATGCAAATGGGTTCTTCGTTCACAATATTTTTGTTTCTGGTGTCATTGGCAGGATAATAGAAGAAATAGGTTTAAAGTCGTCGGATCAGCTGCCATTTATGGTGCCAGTATTAGTGGCTTTATTACGGGATAATACCCCAGCAGTTGCACGACGAGCTATATCAAGCGGAACCAATCTGTTTCGTAATACACTTGAACAGGTTGCTCTTCAGGTAGCTTATATAATCCAATCAGGATTTGTCCATCACTGCTATGAAGCTCTTTTCACCTGCATAATCTCCTGGACCCATTGTGAAGATTTTTATGACGAATTTTTATTATGTTTAGTCCTAACGAATTTAGTTCTTGCAATGATTCTATTATTATTCGTCAAATTTCCTCGAGTTACCTTGAACTCCTAAGTTGTCTCTTCGGCAGGGGATATATACTGGACAAGTCGATGTTCGACTACAAGAAGCCTGGGCCTGGATGATAAGGTTCAAAGATGCTGTGTATCCTGCAGCCTATCATGTAAGTGATTAAAATTTTAGGATCAATATTGTCATGTTTATGCTTTTCAAACTCGTATAGTTGTATCATGAATATAATGACCTTTTCGGGAAGTAATTTTAGTAATACTTGCCACGTGCGTAATATCTGAAGGATTTGGAAGGATCAGTGTGAGGATATTGTTTGTACTTACCTGTTGAGTCTTTCGGGTTGCTTAGCACGGCAACGATGGAGTACGGCTTCAGGCTATAAAATTTGTGGAAACCACAGTATTACTTTTTACTCCCGATTCAAATGGTTCGGCTCGACCGCCCGCACAACAGCAGTACGTAGATGGTGAGAGATGCGCTGACACAACTTGAAGCAAAGCAGATGGTTGCTGTTTGATAAGCAGGAAAATAAAAAACAGTCTTATGTCGTATTTTGGTTCAGCTGTGATTGGTGTAACATGGTGTACCCTGCCATGGTGGATCGAGCTAGAAGTTTTATGCGACAAATCATGCAGTTGGTTTATCAAGTTTGAAAGGACCCGAAACACATCTCTGCTGATTCACACGAAATCACTACTGCAGGAACTGCTAAAGGATTCAATATCGCCTGGATAGCAGGGGGTCATCCCGTGCTGGACCCGGGGGCTATGGGTCAAGAGGCTAGCAAGAATGTTGGCTCGCTGCTCAATCAACTAAGACCGTTTGAAAGCTCTGCACTTCCGGGTCCTGTTGCGATTGTGTTAGTTAACAGGTAATATGCTTTACAGTTGCATTTGCACCGCTGTCTCCTCAGTGTTCTTGAAGCCGTTTTAGAAATTTTTTCCAGATTTCAGACTGATTGTGGGCAACGCGTAAAAGTCAGACAATGTTTGGAACACAAATATGATGGCCCTTAAAGTCCTTCTGACGGTCTCACCATGTTCAGTAGTTCTATTTCTTAAGGAATTTTCATCCCAAGCTATAGCTTCTTAAAGGCAATTTTTGATACTAAACTCTACTTGGACTTGCGTTGATAATAATACTTTGATCAAAATGATAAATGAATGGTTGACAGCCTGGCGGCGGTTGCCAAGCGAAGGCCATCACTTTATGGGCGTGTTCTTCCAGTGTTACTTGGTCTTGCTCCAAGTTGCGAGAACATTAAGGGAGGACAAGTTGCAAGTGTCGTACATGCATTGAAGAACGCGTTCATTTCACTCTTGAAATGTCAGCACTCCGGAGCAGGGCCGGTACTGTACTCTTCCCGAAAATTCCTCGTGAACATACGCTGAGTCGTTACTGAGAGTCTATTAAATTGGACACAGGATCCTTAATAGCTTCTCTTCGACGCCCTCTTATTTGAAGCATCGCACATACATTACTGATCTCAGATCATTATGCTTACGCTTGAGTTCCGTTAGAGGGAGCGATTTTAACTAATTAAATCGTCAGTACTTCGAAAAGTTTTACTTTTCTAAAGAGTTGTGTTTTGACAACCACGACTGCGGCATCGAGCATGTCCTAGTTGAGCTTGATATACAATTGTCTAAGTTGGTTAGCTCTGTTTGTGACATCCATAATCTGGTAGGCCCTGTCGAACTCACTTAGATATCTCAGCATGGCCTTCAGCTGAAGCTTTTGTAGCTAGTCAACACGGTAAAATTGTGACGTTTCACCTGTATGGGGATCTGTTTACGTGCAGTGGCGGGATCGTTTAGTGGGAGCATTACGATCAATGAATGCAGGTGATGTTGCCGATTCGACAATGAGATCGATCGACAGAGCGTTGCGGAATGCTGATAGGGAACGGGCCTCTCGAGATCCTCGAGCAGTAAAGGTTGGAGATTGAGAACGTCGTGTAACCAGTTTTCGCTAGTTGAGATAGCTGCTCTCGTTCTGGAATAGGAGGGACTTTGCCGATCATTATTGGATTTGATTTCACTGGAAAGTGAATCTTCTCAAAAAAATGCTTTTGGAAGATTATGCCTCCGTAATGTGTGGAGTGTAACATCCATCCTTACGGAGGAAACGATGAAGCAAATACCTCAAGTACAACTAGGAATGACTGGACGTCTTGCTTGTTAATAAAGTAGCAACAAAGTGGTACTGACATCACGTTCCAAATTTTTATTTCTTTCCTTGCCATGTGTCCCTTTGCTTGCTTCAATCCAGGATGAGAGAATGCAACCTGCTGGTCAAGTTGCGGATGTTGCCCGGAAGAGGCCTGTCATGCAAGAGAATGGGAATCTGTTGGGGGAGTCGGAAAGTAGCAATGGTAAACGTTTACGAGTGACACACCATTCAGGAGCTGTGATGAATATGCAGCGGGACATGCCTAACAATGCTATGGATACAGGGGCACCTCCGGCCACACCCGTGCCGATGGATACAGGCCTCACCCCCATACAACAAATGATTTCGATGATTGGGGCTTTAGTTGCCCAAGGAGAAAGAGCCGCTGCTTCAGTAGAGTTGTTGATAACAAATATTGCTGCAGACATGTTAGCGGATATTGTGATAGCCAACATGACTCATCTTCCCTCCACTCCACCACCCGTAGAAGAGGTAAGTGCCGGAGGGGAAAGTCGTGCTGTTGGAAATATAGTATCTATTCTTTCTCCTACTCCAGAGCTTGCAGCATCCCCAGCAATGTCTACAGTTTTAGCACCTCCTCCGCTACAAGCAGCTCCGACATATGTGGCTCCTCCAGTTATTGTGACTCCACCCTTAGCTCCTCCCACGGTAGTGGTTCCGCCAGTGTTGGCTCCTCCAGTCCTCCCAGTTTTGATATCTCCTTTAGTTGTTCCTCCGGCTGCAGAAACACTCAATCCTCAAAGTTCAGCTGAAGCTCGAAGAGATCCTCGGAGAGTAAGTGGAAGCCTATGCCTTCGATTGTAATGGGTTCACATCCTTGCTCCTGGTTTGGATATCTTGGTTGAATCTGTATCCCATGGTTCCTTTGATGTTAATCAGAGGCCTAATTATAGTAGGCCTAATTATTGAGTACTGTTTGCTTCTTACATTATAACATTTTTTTCATTAACTGGGTCAGAAATGACGTCGACCAGTTGTGAGTATTGGATTCTACTGTTCTATTAGAAAAAAGGCCTGATTTCCTACTTGTTGGAACCTTCTGCTCACCAAGAAGTAATTTATGTCATTGGCATTTGTTCTGTGTGCTACAGCAAGATCCTCGTCGACTGGACCCACGTCGTTCATCTGCTCCAGGGGTTTCTCCTAGTGCAAAGGATGAAGATACCACTATGACAGGAAGTCCAGTGGCAGAAAATGAGCTTGTGAATCATTTAGTTGATGTGAAACGAGAACCATTGGCGCCAGTTATGAGAGATCCGAGGGAAGTCTCACCGGTCCTTCCCTCACCAGTGGGACTGTCTGCACCAATTCTTGCACAGGTGAAAGCAGAGCCTGTCGAAGAGAAGCCTTCTTCTGCTGGTACTAGACCTTTGTCACCACCTGCTGCGTCAGTAAGTGTACCGCTTGCTCCTCCGCAACCGGTACCTTTGGTAGCCTCTGTGAAGACTGAGCACCCTGCAGTAGTTTTACCTCCTTTTAGCTCACCAACATCAGGTGCTGCTCCCGCTCCTACCATCTCTAAAGACGGGCGAGCTGGGACTTCAATGTCGTCATCTGGATTAGGAGGAGGTATGGGTTCAGCAGGTATTCCGGTCAATGTTCCGGTGCCCACCTTACCTGTCATTTCACTCACAGAAGAGCAGCAGGTTGCACTTGGGAAGGCAGCTCTCGTCCGTATTTTGGAGGGGCACAAAACAATATCTGCCGCTGGAGGAAATGGCTTGAGGATTGCCTTACTTGCTCGACTGGTGGCACAGGCAAGTTGTTTTCTGCAGGTTGATCTGTTGGCGTACAAGTTGAATTCTCAGTTTAGGCAGTCTTTACGGCCAGAAGGGTTCACACTAGTTAGTCACACATTTCTGCAATTTTCGTACAGATGTAAGCCCAAAATCACAGAAAAGTTTGAATATCACATGCTTGAGCTTCATCTATGTCATATTCATAATGGTGCTGGATCTGAGATAGGCGTTGTGCAGGGTTTCTCTGAAGAGATCTGAATATTTGCCTTATTATAATTTTCTGCTTACCCTCATGTACTGTTTCTACAGTCATGTGAAGATGAACAAGCTGTCGAAGTTGTGCGTAAACATATACTTGCTGATTATCAAAATCATAAGGTGAGCTTTTGTCATCGGATGTAGGGCCACAGTTTCCTTATTGACGCACACAAAGTCCTAATATATTAGTGGATAAACTGCTGTTTATGATCAGTTGAAGATGAAGGCGACCTGACCCCTGGCATATGGTTGCTTTGATTGTGACTTTGTTAGGGTCACGAATTAGCTCTACATGTACTCTATCAATTGTACGCTGAACAGGCATCAGAAGAGGGAACTTCATCTGCTTCTTCTTCTCCAATATCTTTGGCATATGATAAACTTCTCCTGTCTTTGGTGGGTTGATTTTTGTACGACCATAACAAGTCTCACAAATCTATTTGAATCAATTTGGCATTTGGTTGTTTCCTGTCTTCCGGTATTCCACGTTTTTACCATAGTTGTGTTCCAACAATCGACACAAAAAGTTCCAAAAATTCAAGCCGGAAATTCTTAGTTACAAGACTGCAAGGCCAGGTTGTAGACAAGTAATCGTTTTGCTTCACTAATGAAGCAACATATTTTACGGAATCACCGACTACCGTCAAGTGAGGTGATGCTTTGGAATGAATCTCATAATCGCGCTTATTTTGTGTGCAGGCTCAAGGGTTGAGGGACACTTTGCCTCCTGCAGACAAAGCCCTAAGCAGATTGTTGGCTGAGGTGCCAGTGTTACCTATGACAGCCTTGGACCTACTTCAGGGATTATGTAATCCCGCTCTTCCAACTAAAGATGGCAAGGAACCACTAGGTGGTGACCGGATAACACAAGGTCTCAGTGCCATTTGGAGTCTAATTCTGCAGAGGCCACCTGCACGAGAAACTTGCCTTAAATTGGCTTTGCAGGTATGGATCTTGTGTTTGACACAAAAAACTTATCACGTTAAAAGGTATAGAAGGAACATACATGTTTCAATTTTTCAGAGTATTCAGTTACCAGATCCACGTCCTACCAATTGAAGTTTCATACAAGGGAAAGGTTTAGAAGCAAACGGCTACCTCTAATGCTGGTGCGTTGACATGCAGTGTGCTGTCCACGAAGTCGATGACATTCGAGCGAAGGCTATCCGTCTGGTATATGTTTCTTTCTGCAACTTTTGCTCATCACTTTTAGCATATCTTTTACCAAGTTTGATCAGGGTGGTCGCATTTTTTGTTCGGCCTGTTCCTTGCGACGGTTATCGTGAACACTTTGACTTCCCATTATTGCAGGTGGCGAATAAATTGTACCCCCTTAGCTATGTTGCAGACAGCATCGAAGGATTTGCTCTAGACATGCTCCAATCTGTGGTCGAGTCAAGGCAAACACCTGTAGATGGAGTTGCAAAAGATCCCATGGATGTGGATGAAGGGGAACCTTCGTTACCACAAGTGAAAAAGGTACTACCAGCAGCTCTTTTGCTTTATATGACTTAGTTCTGCTGTAGTCAGCATAGAGTGTGGGCGCTTTTTTTTTTCAAACTTAAGTTTTTGTTTACTGGTTAGTGATCGTAGACCTCATTTTTCTTCGTAGATTTTATCTAGAATTTGGATAGTCAGATGATTAGTTGTTTTCCCTCTGGGGGTCTTATGCAGGAGGAAGAAGAGCGTGAGCAATCCTCTAATGGTGACCAGAGACTGGTTCAGGGTTCAGATGAAGTATCAATAAATGAATCCGGTGGTCGAAATGTACACCAAAGCAGTAGTGGCACTGTTTCCATGACTGAGGCCCAACGATGCATGTCACTCTTTTTTGCACTCTGCACTAAGGTATGGATGTAGCAGCAGAGCGTGGTTAGTTAGATTGGAACCCCCTGTGACAAGAACACAGGGTATGCTGGAAGCGGGGCTAGCAAAACTCCTGAGTCCCAAATCCCCGGAAATGGCGGAGTTAGCTCCGTGTTCGTTGCCGAACATGAATGAGTGCAATGCCTTTGCACAGAAATGGACTTGTGCTTTTAATCGTGCGGGACGGTCGGGTTCTTCACCCCGGTCAGAACCACACGTGCAAGTTTCTCTGCATGTGGCTCGTCCATGATAACTTATTCAGGGTTTACGGGCCTTCGTCTAGAGAACAATTTGAAATGAGAATACATAAACAATTGCTGGTCATAGAAAGGGAAACGCATAAATTGCGTGAAAAGTTAAATTGGTTAAAACCCGCAGGCCGTCACCGAACCGTACGTGATGGTTTCCCATCATAAGGCTCCTACTGGAACATACCGGGGGTGAAAACGAGGCCCTGCAATTATCCCCTGATGGGGATAGAAGGGGGGTTACATTAACTCCTAGTTGGGATGGGGTGTGCTTATGCTAGAAAGGTTGGTTGCTGCAAGTTCAATAGAGTTTTATGCATATCTTTAGCTGAGCTTCATCATCCTCAGGCTCCATCTTGACAAATTCTTAACATATCTTTTTGCAGAAACACTCACTACTACGCCAACTCTTTTCAGTGTACGGTCATGTATCTAAAACTGTCAAACAGGTGTGGCGGAGTTCTAAACGTTTTCTTTCTGTTCATATACTTTTGTCCAGACTTCCCATATCTTTATTCTAGTTACTTTTAAAATCGGTGCCAATTACACCATTCTAGAATTAGAGTAACTTGGTTTTTTTGCACATGAACTAAATGCAGTGGTCTCTCTTTGATGGCTGTTTTACTGTCCGTCAGTAAGCAGTTGTACATAGAGAATTGTGAAGTAGAGTTTTGATTTCATTCTTATGATATAACGTGCATGCTCGTTGCCCATTTAGGACTTTCTTTCCGCACTTTTGGAGGCTTTTTCTTCTCTCCTTTGTATCTTGTTACTACTTCTCGGTAGATTTGTTAGGATTCTAGGAGACACGCAAGCGTTACCAACCCAATTAAAGACCTTTTGTCAACTTGAAACCGCTCTATAGTTTGATATATTTATTTGCACCATATGCAGGCAGTACATCGCCATATACCTATTCTTTTTCGGACTATTGGCTCGTCATCAGCAGAGCTGCTGCAAATTATATCTGACCCACCCGCCGGAAGTGAACATCTCCTTCTACAAGTGGGTACAGAAGCCGGTCAGGCTACTGCTTAGACTTAGGATGTTGGTTTCCAGCGTACAATATGTCTCTTCATCTATCACGACATTTCTTTGTTTACAGATGAGTTATCATCCTGGGATCATCTATAGGAGGACTTATAATACTTCATGAATTCTGCACAGGTTCTTCACAGTCTTACTGAGGGTAGCACTCCTTCTCAGGAGCTCATCGCCACTGTTAAAAAGTTATACGAGACTAAGCTGCAGGTACGTATTGACCAACTTCCTGTCAAAAGCTGGGACTACAGACAATTCATAGATAATCTGAAATGACCCTACATCCTCGTAACAAGAAAATTCTAAACGCTTGGTATTTGTTTATTTTTCTTTATGAAGGCACTTCATCCAATGTTTAACAGTAGACAAAATTCGGCAGACACAAGAGAGTTGATGATATAGATGCAGTTTTCAAGAATAGGACAGTTCTAATTTGTCGTATCATCTTATCTTCTTGAATGTTCAATGTGCAGGATGCAGTGTTTCTAATCCCTGTATTGTCCTCCTTAACGAAAGATGAGGTATTTCACATGCAGCTGAAGTGTATTTTTTCTGGATGGCTTTTCTTTCAGCATGGGATTATTGCGTTCGCTAATTAAGCTACTCTCAGCCTGCAATCGTTTTTAAATGTATACTTCGTCAAGCATTCCAATAAGGAATACATACAAACGCCTAGTTATCTGAAGATGTGAAAGAATGTACGAATCTTACATACGTGATGCTTGAATGTGGTGCTTCTTTCGTCTAAGATGACTCTTTTCGATCGTTTTGGCAGGTGTTGCCAATTTTCCCTCGCTTGGTAGATTTACCTCCTGAAAAATTTCAGACAGCACTGGCCCGCATCCTACAGGTACTCCTACATGCTCATCCATGAAAGGTGGAAGGAATACTTCGTCCATGGTATCGTACTGTGCTATACTACTGAGAAGATACCATTTTAGTATGCATTTTTCTCTGTTCCTCCAAGGTTTATTTTTTTTTTGTGATTAAAGTCATGCCTCCTTCTGGTACAGGGATCTGCGCACACTGGCCCAGCTTTGACACCTACAGAAGTGCTCATTGCCCTTCATGGGATCGATCCGAACAAGGACTCTGTTCCGTTGAAAAAGGTAGGTTCGTCTAATTGTATGAACCCTACTCAACAGTGAGTGTCATAAGTTGAAGTACATGGATTCTGCTCAGGAGATGTCTGTTACTGCACTCACCCTGTCTGAGTGACGCTAGTAGTACTAGACTGGGATGTCAAGCATAAACAATTAACGGTGTTTTCAAACCATCTCATAATATTAATTTGGATTCATCGTTGTTCTGTCATAAGCTTTCATTTTCCGGGATTAACTAACTTTTTCCAGAAGGCTGCACACGCAACATCTTTTCAAGTTCCATGCATTCGTAGCTATATAAAATGTGGACCAAACTTTACTAGGAAGTATTGCCGGACTTAACAAAAGAATTTTTAACTTTGTGGATCTAAGTTACGAATAGTCATTATACAGGGAAGCTCTCAGTACTTTTGGTAAGAAGGAAGCATTCACTGGTGTAACTTTTTGTTTATAGCTGTGCAAATCCATAGGACACTGATTCCTGTTATTTAATACATGGGTTCCTGTTGTCTGGTGAAGGTGATGGATGCTTGTTCGGCTTGTTTACAACAACGTACAGTTTTCACCCATCAAGTTTTGGCCAAAGTTTTGAATCAACTGGTAAATTCTTTTTTTTAGTGTCTTTTGTATAGCCTTACACGATTGTTAGATGTTCTCTTGGATGAAACCTTTCAGAGTTTGACTCTTGCCAAGCGTAGGTGTCCTGTTTTTCAGCACGCCACTGTCGGAAAATGTAACTTAATAATCTAGCGGAATGAGAATTCCTGTTGTCCAAATAACCCGGTCATACGTTCTAATAGCTGTGTACGCATGGAATGAAATAGGTCGAGCAAACTCCTCTTCCTCTACTATTCATGAGGACTGTTATTCAAGCCGTTGGAGCCTTTCCCTCGCTGGTAAGTTGATGAATTCGGTCGATTTTTTGTCGATTGGCTACTATCCGGTCAGTGCACAAGGTCGATGGATCCCGACTGAGAGCACATGTCTCCATATGAGCCTTTTTTCTAAAGCGTCTGAGCTACGTGAGTGTGGACGCTTATGCGTACCTTAAACTCACTGATTGTTTTGTTTCCTTTTTACACAGGTCAGCTTTGTGATGGAGATCTTGTCTCGTCTTGTTAACAAACAGGTAAAGCTCAACTTGGGTAGGCTGATCAGCTTGACCCTTTTTTGTTTGGCAGGAAGTTGCATCCCTTTATTTGGCGTTTGATCAATATTGTGTGGCTTGCTCTATGCAGATTTGGAAGTTCCCTAAGCTATGGATTGGCTTCCTGAAGTGTGCGAACCAGACTGTACCGAACTCCTTTCACGTCTTATTGCAGGTTTCTACCTCGTTCTTATCATGGATCCAAATTTGTTCCTTTTGAGTTTGATATATGACACCGTTAACTAAGTACAATTGTTCTGTTATGAGGACCACCTGATTGATTGGCCCCTCTCTGGCAGACTCCTGGGCCAGGACAGGCAGCACACGATCACAGTTTCGTCTGAGATGTACATGTGTTACTGCCTATTATGATCCCCTATGAGGTTCGAAATACCGACTTATCATTTGATAAGTTAGGACAGGGCCTTGTGCTATCCGAAAATGTCTTGTGGAAAAAGGACAGGAAACATGCCAAATACTGTCAGTGTCTTGGTGCTTATTTGAAGCATCTGTTGGGCGTATACAAAAGCGGAAGAAAGTTCAGTCTGTCCTAGCACCTTACCAGTCTTTACTAGATAAGGCAGTTCTGAGGAGCAGATCATGAGAATCTGAATGGAGTCAAAGCTGGGTCCTGACATGTTGTAAAGGTTTTTTTCTGACGTCGTAACGTTTCTGTGTTTACAGTTACCCCTCGTTCAGCTCGAGGATGCATTCACGAAGCATCCGAATTTGAAGGGCCCTCTTGCTACTCATGCAAGCCAGCCCAACATTCGCTCCACCGTTCCCAGGTCGGTCTTGCAATTACGTTGTCTTTTTGGGGTCGCTGTAGTGTCAAATGTCAGCCTGAAGCCTTCACTCTCTAGATGACAAAGAGGAATCCTGTATCAATGTCTCTCCTTAGAATTGGCCATTGAGATTCTGTGTGCAGTCTATAGACGTTTACTTTCGTTCGAAACTATGGAACGGGCGATGGTTAGAGAAGTTTCTGCGAAGTCAGATTGTTTTTCTAGTTCTCATAAAAAATCAGGAGAGAGAGGAGAACTGTGAGGTCGTTATCAAGCGGGAAAGCCTTGCTAGGGAGTAGCAATCGGGAGTTTGGATTCACTTGACAGAGGACCCAGGTCGTAATAATGTTAGCTTTTACGTCCCATGCGAGCGTGTACTCGTAGAACAAGGACGCCGCCGACATCTTAGTATGAAGATATCGGAAGATGTCGGCCCATCCGCTCTCATCAAAGCTAAGCCTGATCTCCTACTCATGGGAGTAGGAATATTAAGGGTACGGAGTTCAAGGGAGCCATAGAAATTGAAACTCTTTGCTTAAGGCCGCAAGCCCATCAGTGGAGAGAACTCTAAGTGGGAACCTAGAACGTGTTTGTTTTGCAGGTTGGATGCAAATTGACTTTGTTGTGCTAAGTTGTGGTCGTGTGAACTGCCGCAGGTCATCGCTGGTTCTCTTGGGCTTGGCCGCGCAAGATGAGTCAAATGCTACTCCGCCGCAGTCGCTTCCAGAGGGTTCAGCTGTAGAGATGCAGGTGAAACATTAGGAGGCGGCCTTGCCTAGCCAGCCATGTATTATATTAGTTGGTTGTGGGTTGCACATGGTATAATCAGGCTCTGTCTGGAGTTAGCCAGCAATGTTCTTAACATTGAATCACATTGTTCAAAATTCTAGCAGATTGCTGGGGCCCAGCCTTTGAAAGCGCACACAAACACACACATACACACCCGTCTGTGGGGAAGCTTAGCTGTGTCAGCACCCTTTGTAGGCTTAGCACATTACAAAAGTCCAGCAACCCTGAGTTACCCAACGGCCTTTTCGCGAGTGGTCGAGTTCTACACATTTAGGGAGCACTGTAATCTGGACATTTTGAATTTTGCCCATTCAGGTCTGTTTCGTGATAATGAAGATAAGCAATTTTGCTCGAATATAGTTACAAGTGAGATCGGGTTGCAAGGCTTTTTTGTTCCGGACCTGGTTGACGATATCACACCGTCATCCCTGTCCATGTCCTGCTTACTCAATGTGTGCGCTGCTTCCATGCAAAGGGTGTGCATGCAACAACAACAACAGACTGGTCCAAGTGCCTCCAAGTTGAACATGGACGACGATGCCTCGTCCTCCTGCCCAATCGCAGCACCCCATGCATGCACTCTGACAGAGACCGGCCCCCAAGTCTCCACCCCCGTAGTGGACCCGTGTGGATCACAAGCGGAGGAGGCAACAGTTGCGACCAATCGAGGCACGAGGATCCTTTACGTGTTGGCGAGAGCCAGTCATGTCAAAGCCTCGCGCAGAAAGTGCCCTGAACCTTCGGGTTCCGAGGGTCGCCGGTCAAACGGGGTCGCAAATATGCCACTGAGGCCCATGGCCGCCGCGCTGGGCGTGCCCCATTGGAGCCTCGGGCGAGATAGAGCTCGAGCTCGAGCTCGCCCTGACCAAAAGCGAATCCATAATTGTCGCGTGCTGGAACCCCCGGAAAGTGTTGGTGGACACGTGAGCCCGAGTGGGCTCGCGAAATCCGAATGTGTCGCCGGAAAGGCCAAACCTTAACCACTGCGCTGCGCTGTGGCATATTCGCGGCCTGCACATGCGCAGAATCTACTCGGCGTCGATTCCGCGACCCGGACTGCTGCCGCTGCCCTCGTCGTCACTGCGTGAATCATCACCCACGCTGCACCTCCTCCCTCGTCCTCCGAATTCAAACTCTCCAGCAGATCTCTTTGACTCATGCTGCACGTTTGCCCCGGCTCGAGCCTCGAGCCTCGATCCTCGATCCTCGATTGCCCGCCCGCCTTAAAGCAGCCCTTGCGTTCGGGAATTCCCCCGCCCAAGCTGAGAATCATCTGATAGCTGCGGGGCAATCTGACCATCATGCGCTCGTTATCATTAGAGGCTCCTCTCCTCTCTTTCTTCTCATCTGGCGGTGGACTGACTGACTCCACGGCTGCTTGGCTGCGGGAGCAGGTGTCGTAGGGTGGACTTTGGATCCTGTCGAGTTGTCTCTTCTTCTTCTTTATCTTCTTGCGGGGCGATGGGTTTAGTTGCATCTTTCGGCCAAGTTGCAAGCGGTGACCATTCTCGACAGCCCCCTTTCCGATCCAGAATCAAGCATGCGGAATGAACCCGGAGCAGACGAGGGTTCACCGTCGAGACGCCCTGCGAGGGCTGCCTGGCTTGATGACGAAGGTTCGATGCCAGTGGCGAGGCGCTCGCTCACTGGCAGGAAGTTCAAAAGCTCATGCGCCATCGTCGTCGTCGACACGGGCTTCGGTGCGAGGCGCTCACTCGCTCAGATAATGGTGCGGACAAACCCCGAAAAGAACGAGCGCCCGAGCGAACGAAGCAAATGGCACCACCTCCATCTCCATCTCCACCTCATTGAGATCCTCGACCCTCCCCCTCCCCTCCCCTCCCCTCCCCTCCACTCGAGTGCTCGCTCGCTCGTCCCGACGACGACGACGGCCCCAACATCTTCTGACTTGTCGACGGCGAGCGCTCGACAGGTCGAATGTTCCCCATCCCCGCCCCCACCCTCCCCATCGCTGCAGCCCCGCCGCGAGGGCTTTCATGGCGCCCACCTGGCGGCCACGCAAGCTCCGCTCGAGAGGGCAGGGCCCCGCGGCACAAGCAAGGAAGGAAGCCCGCAACGCGAACCCGCCTCCGCAATTTCTTTCCGTCCCTTTCCTTCCCTTCCCTTCCCTTCCCTTACCTTTCCTTTCCTTTCCTGTCCACGCGCCTTGTCTTTTCTTTCCGCGCGATCGATGGCGACGTCGCTATTTTCGAAGGATCCAAGGAGCGAAGGAGATCTGCAACTGGGTGACGTGTTACGCAGTCCAAAAGGCCACGACGACATTTGGGCTACGTCGTCGATCACCACCACCAGCTTCGAAGTGCGTGGTTCAACCTTTGGTATTTCCAGCTACGATACCGTATTTTTCACTTGCCCGCGGTGCCGTGTTTTACGACATCACGCTTTAATCGTATCTGCAATTTTTCTGGATTCTCGCATAAATTTCACGTACATGTACCTATGAATGGTTTTGCCGCCGTTTGTAGCTGAGGGAAGATATAATTAGCTCAGTTTGTCATTCGATCTGAGCAAGGGCTCTTATCTTTCCTTAAAGAAACACGGGGACACCAGAATTTAGGGACGGTGTATTTGTTGTTTATTCGTATAGGCATAAATTGCGCCTAAATCTCTTCGAACTAAGAAAAAATCAGAGGAACTGAGGGGAAAACAATTGTGGGCCCAGCGAGCCATTGGATCTTAACTGGTGTCCTTCATTAGTATATTATGTTTTCACGAACGAATTTCCGACAAACAAAAAGCTCTTCTATTTTTTCACGAACCACGTCCAGCCACATATTGATAGTGAGAAAATGAACAGACATTTAAACTTTTTGTAGATCAGGATACCTGAACAGCTTTATCTTGTATATCTAATAGTGTATGACTTTTTCTTTGAATTCCGTCGAAATTGTTTTACTTTTTCCCGACAGGAAATACGGCCTAGGTCTTTTAAAAAAATAAAAAATCTCGGCCACATTTTGTGACGGAAAATGGCGAAATGGTAATTCGGATTATTGTTGTTTTTATTGGGAGGCGAGTTGCCCAAGTTTCTATGTTCGTAGTGGCTTACATTGTGCTACATCGTGCACACTTGGCCTACACGAATCCGCCTAAATCTATCTGCAAAAGGAGGCTGCCAAATCAAAGACCTGCTCGTAGTTAAGCACTTTTAATTGTGCATCAAGCCAAAGAGATGTCATATGGACGCAGGATTTTAACTACGTGTTATGATGATAGGCAGAAACCTTCACCATTTCAGTGACTGGAGAATATATTTGCCGGTATGAATATGCATTCCTTCTTCACCATTTGGCAGCATGCGATCGAATGCCAAGACTTGGATGAGGATGAGGAGGAGGGTTGTTTATTTACCAAAATCTCCGATCCGAGTGTCATGTGATATCTATTTGGTGGTGTGAATAAAACAGCATGAATGGATGTTGGAACCAGTACATGATGGGCGTGTACCAACTCTAGCACCAACCAGCTGCACCATCGTCATCACCTTCATCATCAACCGCCTCCTCTTCCTCCACGAGGATGCACAATAGTAGAATTTGTTCTTCTACATGAGAGGACTCTGAATTGAAAGTTCAACCCCACATCTTCCCTACCTCAAACATGGCCCAGATTAATAGTTTTCTAGGCCATGTTGACTTGGTGCATCTCCGGTTGATGTGTGCTCTTGCTCTTGCTCTTTACTTGGGACGACCCCCGGCCAAAAAAGAGCATCTATCTCCCTTCCACAACCAACCATTAATTCCTTCATGCATCCGTCATGTCAACTCCAATTTGCCTCGGGTTAAGCTAAGGTGAGGGTTAGTCTGCGAGGCATCTCGATCTCCTATGATTGACACAGTGCTCAACACGTGGGATTTTTGCATGTACTCCAAACAAGCGTTTGCATCAATACTGCAATTAAGCGACAAAAAGGACGACTTCGGAGTTGGGGAGAGGGTGTGGAGGGCGGCAGAGAAGGTGTTCGAAATGTTGGTGACAATGGAGGAGGAGGAGGAACGTAAGCTCGTGCTTATTATTATCAATATCACCGGCAGAAGAAGAAGGAGAAGAAGAAATTGGGCTGATTTCCAGATTGGTATTACGTCGTAAAAAGTTACACGAGTAGGACATGTGAGAAGGTGTGAGAAGGTGGGGGAGGGAGGAGGAGAGAGGTATGTTTAGACCAGATGCTGACACAGGGAATTTCCTTCACCACCCACCGCTTTTTTGAAGGTGAAGCCAAATTGACCACCTCATTTGTGACTACATCGCCTCCTCCAAATTGTTGACGATGACGGTCATGGGATGATATAGATCCACCGAAGGTCCCCTTTTCCTCCAGAATGAATGCGACAGACGGACCGCCTGACGAAAAGAAGTGCGCGACGACTTCGGAGTCGGCTTTCATTTGTGAACTATTAATTTGTGTCATCTGCAAGTGTCATGCACGAACGATTGAATGCGGCAAGAACTGTCACATATGATAAAGAACTGGTAGCACTTACTTTCATTACGTCCGCTCTGTGCACAAGCTTCTGCATCCATCCATCCATGCATCCATCCGCGTCACCTTCATTATTGGCCCCACAAAAAAAAAGCCCCCCCCACCTCGAGGGGTTTCGAGCAACAAATTGCAAATCAGAAAGCAATCTTGGAGATCGATTCCAGATTTCCGAACTTCAATCTCTCCATCGACGCAATCTTGGAAATAGGTTTCTTCGCCTGTCTCGTGAGCCGGAACATCTGCTCTCATCTGAATGTCGATAGGGCTACAACGTCACTGACACGGGCGATCGAGTTTTTTCGTTGAACCGGTGTGAACGGGGCCCTGGAGGAACTCTGACAGGCGCGAGTAATGATGAAAAATATGAACCCCCCGCGGCTCATAAACAAAATAAATCGGAGGTTTAATAATTCGGATTAGATATGCTGGTCTTCGGCTTCGGTCTTCCTTTTGACAACTGGAAGTGCGAACCTAACCTCGCCGCCGGATCAGGATAATCGGACGGCGGGTAGGGTTCGGAGGCAGGTCCGGGGAGGATCATAATAATCATCAGCCCCCCACCCCCGTCATAAAAGGGTACTAGAAAAATGAAGGGAGTGTGCCGCACTCAAGCCTTCCACGAGTGAGAGTGACAGAGAGTGAATATGCAAACAACCTTTTACCATCTGATCGAGCGAGCTGCTGAAGATCCATCGATCTCTGCATCCACTCGCCGATCGATATGCCAAGACGTTGCGAGTTGACAAATCGAAGGATGAGTTTTCTTCGGGCCATGGCACTTTCGTCCATTGGATTTATTTATTATTCTTATTTAAATCCGCCTCTGAATCTTTTAGTGCTGGGTGAGTGGTTTCTTCTGCATTGTCGTATGCTGATCTTCTGCTGTCCGATAGGTGTATTCGGGATATTTTAGATAATTTCTCTGCATGGTGGAAGTTTCTGGACCTTTTGGTTGCTGTTGTTATTGTTTTGCCCTCGGGCTTGCATACCAAGTCTTCCTTCCAGGACTGTGATTCGCTTCTCGCCCTTGCGAGCGATTTCTGGCCCCACAAGGCAAATGAAATCATCTGAGTGTAGATCCTCGTCAATATTATATTCTTGGAGAGTCACCAAGAGAAAGCGGGGAGGACCGGGCATGTAAGGAAGATTATTCCCCAGGAGACTACTAAAATAATATATTTTCGGGAGAGGTTACAACGAGCTAGATTCAAAGAGTTGTTGAGGTTTGCCTTTTCACATGAAGAATATCCAGCTAGATTCATCCTAGTCATACCATTTGTGCGCTTTCATCATCACCCGCGATAGTGTATTTAACTTCGTCCTAATTTTGTTCTTGTATATGCATATGTTGCAAATAAATTCATTTTCACTCTTGAATCTTTGTAACTAAGCATGACGCAAGGATAATTAAATAAATTAGAGGGGGAGGGGAGGGGAAGGGACGAGACGAGACGAGAGGCGAGGCATGGCATGGCATGGCATCGAATGGCATCGCTCCAGCTCCTTGGTCCCTCCCTTGCACCGGCCACGAAGGACGGAAAAGGACAAAGGGGCCGAATGACTGACTGGACTGGACTGACTGGCAACGAACTAACGTCCACGAGAGTCCAAAGGTCCAGAGCAAGAACCGGAACACAGAGAGGACAAGGGCCTGCCAACTGACGCAAGCGAGGACCGGGACACAAAGAGGACAGGGCAGATGAGGGACAGAGGGGACCAACCGAAACCGAAAAACCGAACTGCAACCCGAACCATGATGTGATGAGATGGGTGACCTCGGGTCATACATGTGTGATGGGAAGGGATGGGATGCGATGGTATGATGATGTGGAGGAGGAGGCTTTGTGCATCTTTTGTCCATGTCTACGATCTATCCTATCTGGATCATGTATTATGTTTGTTGATGTGTGGTGGTTCCACGAATAAAAATGCGTTTCTCGTAGGCACTTATCTCACTTTGCCACCTTAGCATTGACATTTTCTCCTCCGGTATGTATTCCGAACGTACTTCAGTACTATTGGGCTCCTCTTTCACAGGCATTTTTCTATTATGCTGCTTGCTGGATTTTCTGACTTCACCCTCACATGCCATCTGTGCTTTTTCTCTTTCTCAATTTCCACTGGTACATTCAGATAACTTGGCTTATATGCTGTTTGAGAGCACGCTTCTATCAACACACTTCTGGCTCTATACATTCGTTCAAACAGAACTTTAACTTACGCTATTTTACTACGTCTTCATGTATCAGAAAATAAATATGTTAGAAACCTAATCTTGATCTTCTAAGGTTGGCTTCTCAGATTATTATCGTTGGCTGAAAAATAAGCCTCGTTTCATAAATTTATCTCGTGCTATCATAATTCTAATAGAAACCTCATTACATAAAGAAAAACTTCCATCTTAATAAGATTATATGTTTTATCTAATAGAAATAGTTTCATTCATTAAATTTTCTTCAAGTATGTAATATGCAACATCTGCAACGTACTTAGTCCGGTATGTTCTTAAAACTAGTTAGAGGGTCACGGGCTTATAGGAATGATCGTACATAGATGAGTAATTTCTCCTTGAATCGTGTTATCAGATGGCACACGGTTGGGCTTCTACATCTGTGTCGAAAGTGGGTTGGATATAAAGGAAAAGAATTCCGTAAAAGGGAATGATTGAACGAATAAATATTTTAGGAAAGACATGACATCTTGGCTGAGTATTCGGTTGACTTCCTGCCATTGTTATTGCAGAGTTGTTAGGATTAAAACTTAGCATCATGCAGTCGTTTTGGCTATTCATTGTTTGTGCACGAGTCACCAACTGAAATCATTCTGGGGATAAGCACTACCTCACACCTTGAGAACCAGATTGTTACACAAAGTTTGTTACAATGGATAAGACTCACGAAGCGTACTGGGTAACATACATCATAATCTGGACGTAGGAGGGAAGCGGGGATGAGTCTTCC